TCGAGCAAGGACGCCGGCAAGCTGGAGCTGGAGAACCAGTCGCTCAAGCGCCGCCTGGTGCAGTACGCCGCCACGCTGGAGAAGCTCACGGGGCACGCGCGCCGCGAGATCGACGCGTCCGTGCGCGCGCGCGACGACGCCCTGGCCGCCGCCGCGGACACCGCCGTCCTGCGCGAGCAGGTCGTCGACCTCAAGGCCTCGCTCAGGGTCCTGCAGCTGCGCCGCGACGCCGGCGAGGACGCCCTGGCCGCACGCGACGCACGCGTCGCAGAGCTTGAGCAGGCCGCCGCAGACGTCGGCATCGACCAGGCCGAGAGGCTCAGGGAGAGGGAGGACGCCAAGAGAATCGCAGACGAGCTCGCCTCCACCGCCCAGTCCGTCACCCTGGAGAGGAGCGCCAGGCTCTCCGAGCAGGAGAGGTCCGTCAGGTTGGAGACCGAACTCAACCAGATGAGGGCGAAGCTCGCCACCCTGCAGGACGCGGACAACGGTATCAAGGACGCACAGACGGCCCGCCAGTTGAGCGATGTACGATACAAGGACGCCGAGACTAAGCTCGCCGACATTGTCAAGAAGGAGCTGGCCGCCCGGAGTGAGCGCGATCTCTATGCGAATAAGGCGGCGGAGAGTGACGATGCCGCCGCCAAGTTGAGGTCCCAGCTGGCCTCCGCCCTGACCAAGGTCAATGTGTTGGAGAAGGCCCATATGGATACGTCCACCGAGCTCGGGAGTCGCGCCATCTCCGCGGAGAAGAAGGCCTCCACCGCCGCCGAAAGTATCTCCGCCCTGCGCGCGGAGCGCGACCATGTCAAAGCCCAGCTCGCGGATACCAAGGCCGCCTTCGAGGAAGCGTCCGTAGCTGCCGCGCAGGTTGAGGCCCAACGGGAAGCTGTTGATGAGCGCGACGTCCTCAAGTCTAAGATGGTAAACGTCGAGGATGAGCTGCGCCAGTCGAACGAACTACTTACCCGCGCTGCCATTGATGCCCTGGGGGATAAGCAGCGCATCCGCAAGCTCGAGGACGTCGTGCTCAAGATGCGGGACGCCGCCGCCACAGATAGGAAGGAGCGCCAGGCAAGGGACTCGAAGATCGCTCTCTTCACCACCACCCTGCAAGCCGCCGAGAAGGAGCTCGACGGCCTTCGCAACACCAAGCGCACCCTCGCCGAGCAGCTGCACAAATACCAGGTCCAGATCCACGAGCAGGACAATACCGTGCGCTTCAAGAACCGCGAGTTAGAGCAGCTGGGCGCCGTGCGCGCCGATCGCGAGGCCAAGTCACTCCAGCTCGCCCTGGACTTGAGCAATTCGAAGAACTCGCTCGCGAAGAAGGAGAGCGATTTCGTCAACTTGTCCACTGCGTACGACGAGGTCCGACTTCAGCTCCGCAACACCTCGACGGATCTGGAGAGCAAGGACTTGCAGGTCACCAGCTTGCAGAGAGACCTCACCACCAGCGCGGACCGCCTTGCCGAGCTTGAAAAGGAGGCTGAACGCGGGAGGGCTACCAAGGCGGAGCTTGACACCACCACGCGTCAACTGCATGACACCAACGCCAAGCTGTCGGCCAAGGTTGATCTACTTTCCACCATGTCACGGTCCTTCACCACCCTCAAGACGGACGCCGCTGACGCCCAACGCGAGAAGAAGAGGCTCTCCGAGATGCTTGCCGAAGTCAGCGCCGATCTCAAGAACGCCAACCAGGAGCTGAACATCCTTCGCGGCTTGCGAAAGGATCAGGAAATGCTTGCCAATCGCATCAACGAGATCAGGGAGAGCTCTGCGCGTGAGCTGGAGTCTTTGCGTCACACCCAGACCGAGCAAGCAGAAAGGCTCGCGAAGAACACTATCGAAGGGTACCAACGCAAGCTCGAGGAGAACCAAGCCTCGACCAGGGCTGATATCGCTGCCTCTGTCACCACCCAGTTGCGTGACGATCTCATGCCGCAGCTCTTGAACGTTGTCGATCGCAAGGCGAAGAGAATGGTAACCAGTCTTGCGAAACATGTCGAGTCATTCACGTTCGAGATTGGAGCAGACACTGAGGCCTTCGAACAGAAACAGCTTCCGTCCTCTTCGGGGGCTGCAGAAACTCATAGTACCCCAGCGCGCTACACTGAGCAAATCGAAACTCTGATGCAACGGGAGACGGGCCAAGCTGTAGGTGCGCCTGAATCGCCATCCATGTCACGCTCTATTCCCACCTCGTTTCCTCGAGCAGATGATGTATTTGGCACGGAATCCCGAGAAGCTATCGACCTCTCTTCGTCACCGTTGAGTGGGGATATATACGGAACCCTTCAGACGGATGCGGATGGGATTGAGATTGTGGACGCAACCCAGGCCTCTGACCCGGAAGCGGAAGGCGTGACCCTGACTGATTTGTTTGCCGCAATCTCAGGTGACAAACATCCGTCCGAGTTTACCGAAGGCATCATCGTCATGGACGATGAAGTGGCGGGAGCAGACGACGGCGAAGACATCGTCGACAAGGAAGAACATGCGGAACAAGAGGACGAGCCCGAACCGTCGGCAGTCCCAGTGAGGCTTCACGAACAGCAAGAGGTACCTGCCACTGTGAGTGAAATTATCGCCGAAGAATCCGAGCCGGTCGCGCCAGTGAGTGAGCCTGTGGAAGCGGAGGCTACACCCCTTGCAGGCGTAGAAGAACCAGAGTCTCTTGACAGATCGTTCGCAGTCCCTGAAGCCGCCGAGCCCTCCTCTGAACCCGCGGAAGACGCTGAAGAGGCGAGCCCCGAAGACGGTGTGCTGCTTGCCGAACACCCAGAAGCTGCTGCTGATGATCAGGTCGAGGAGGATTTTGAAGTCACGGCTGGTGGTGAGGAAGATGCTGGGGATCTGGATAAGCCATCTGATGCCGATGCTGTGGACCCATCTTCGCAGGAAAGATCATTTACTCCAGCTGCTATCCCGCAGTCTCAAGACGAACTATCCGAAGAACCAGAACCAGCCAAGATTGTGGACGGCATTGAAGACACCATTGCGGTGGGGCCCGATCCTACGGCAAGTCGAGAAGTCCTTCCAGCTGTAGATACCGCCGAAGCAGATGTGCCCGCTCCTATCCTGGAGGACACTCCTGTCCTTGCTGAGGAAGTAGCCGTTGAGGAAGAGGGAGAGAGCATTGAGCCTACTCCCGTAGATGCGCAGCCTGAACCCGAAGAGGCCTCACAGGAGGAACAACCAAATGTCGACGGTGAGGAAGCAGCAGATGAGCCGCAACCTACTGCTGAAGCGACTTCCGTTCCAATTGCATCTGAACCAAAGATGACGGAGGAAATGGCAGAAGACCCAGGGACGCACGACGCCGAGCCTGCCGAAGTGGTGGATACCACTACTGAAGAAGCTGCCACTCGGGCTTTGCCCTCGGCTGTAGTCGAGGATACGTACCCTGTTCTGGGGGCGGAGCCTGAACCAACCCTTGATACTTCTGTAGAGGCCCCGGTTGAAGAGTCACTGACGCGGAGCCTGCCAGTGGCAGAAGATGCAGATGAAGCGGAAGAGCCTGACGCAATTGACACCCAGGCTGTTGAAGAGTCCCCAGCGGAGGTTGAAGAAACTTCCGATGTAAATGCTGTGGAAGGCGAAGCTGAAGAGTCCCCTTCTCTACCATTCGGAGATGATGCCGGTGTGAAGGCTGCGGAGGAAGCTGAAGTTGCAGCTCAAGATGAGGGCTATGATGCCACACAAGCAGGGTCAACGGAGGTCCAGGAAAGTGTCGAGGCGCCGGCTGATACCGAAGAAGCTACTCGTGACCTCCCGACGAGTGGGTTTGCTGGAGTCCACGTCGCCGAACAAGCTGACTCTGAGGCCCAAGTGGTAGACGAGGGGATAACGGATGATGTGGGAGGGGTTGAAGCGAGCCGTGACCTTCCCCAAATGGCCACCACAGAAGAAGTAGAGACTGTGGAAGGATCTGGTGCTGATGTCCCGGAAGCCGAGGCCGTCGGAGAACCCGCTGTTGAGGCGCCAGAAGCCGAGACTGTGGAAGAACCCGCTGTTGAGGCGCCAGAAGCCGAGACTGTGGAGGAACCCGCTGTTGAGGCGCCAGAAGCCGAGACTGTGGAAGAACCCGCTGTTGAGGCGCCAGAAGCCGAGACTGTGGAAGAACCCGCTGTTGAGGCGCCAGAAGCCGAGACTGTGGAGGAACCCGCTGTTGAGGCGCCAGAAGCCGAGACTGTGGAGGAACCCGCTGTTGAGGCGCCAGAAGCCGAGACTGTGGAAGAACCCGCTGTTGAGGCGCCAGAAGCCGAGACTGTGGAGGAACCCGCTGTTGAGGCGCCAGAAGCCGAGACTGTGGAAGAACCCGCTGTTGAGGCGCCAGAAGCCGAGACTGTGGAAGAACCCGCTGTTGAGGCGCCAAAAGCCGAGACTGTGGAAGAACCCGCTGCTGAGGCGCCAGAAGCCGAGACTGTGGAAGAACCCGCTGCTGAGGCGCCAGAAGCCGAGACTGTGGAAGAACCCGCTGCTGAGGCGCCAGAAGCCGAGACTGTGGAAGAGCCCGCTGTTGAGGCGCCAGAAGCCGAGACTGTGGAAGAACCTGCTGTCGAAGTTACTGAAGTCGAAGCAGCAACTGATTCGAAAGAAGTCTCCGAAGATATTGCCGTGGAAACAACTCGTAGTCTCGATGCCACGCCTACTGCAGCAGAAGCAGGTGATGAGGAAGAGAAACACGCTCCCCTTGACTTGAGCGCTGAAGTTCCAGTTTTGGCTGAGGAAGCCCGTGCTTTGCCTGCGACAGAACCAGTAGTGTCCATGGAGGCAACTGAAGAAGCTGCGATTGAGGCTACGGTTGAGGAACCGCGAGCCCAGTCCACAACAGTGCAGCAAATGGTTCAAGCAGATGAGGCACTGGAAGGTTCTACTGAAGTTGTCGAGGGCGACGAAGTGCCCACGTTTTCTGACGATACGCGTGAGATGGACGTGACGGAACCTGAGGTTACTACAGGGGAAGTGGTCGAAGTCGTCCAAGAAGCTTCTGATGCGCAAGCAGCTGAAGAAGCTGAGCTTGAGGCATTAGTGGATGATGGGCACCCTGCACATCCGGCAGAAGTTCAGGAAGCTGTAGGCGAACCAGTGGATGTAGAAGCGACCCGTGATTTTCCACAAGAAGCAACTGCCATTGAGGAAACCGAAGAACAGGTTACCGAGACTCAAGCGGATGCAGAAGCGACGGCAATCGATTCTTCAAACATTGAAGACACTGGTGATTTGGGAGTCGATGCCGAAGGGACTCGCGAGCTGCCGGTTCCTGCAGCGGAGGCTGACACCACCATGGAAGAAACTACTGCTGTTGGCAAGGCCGAGAGTGCTCCGATTGTGGACGTTGCTGATGAGACTGGAGCCGGTGCGCCGATTGTTGAGGCAGCGGAAGACGCTTCTGCTGAGGTTAGCGAGACCGTTGATGCAATCGAATCTCGTGGTTTTCCTGTAGTGGAGACTGAAGCCGATGTATCAGCAGTTGGGGTAACAGAAGATGCCTCAGCTGAAAAGAACGCGACAGTTGATGAAATGGAATCTCGCGGTTTTCCGATAGTGGAGGCGGATTTGGCAGCGGAAGAGCTCCCTCAACAAGAGGAGCCAGCTGACGAAGATGCTCCAGCGGAGGATGCTGAGGTACCAGGGGAGGTCGAAGGCCAACAGCCTACAGCAGAGGCCACGGAAGCTGTGGACGCAGAGGCAGCTGCCGAAGGGGAGTATGTGGAGGAGGCTGAGCACGAGGCAGCTGTGGATGAAAGTTTGCCAGTGAGCACTGCAGAAGTGGTTGATGAGGCCGGGGTCGAGGAGGCGGTATCTAGCCGGGAGGTTGACGTTGCGCAGCTCGGTGTGGTTTCGGAAGAAGCCATTCCCACAGGATATGAAGAGCCGATTGAGGAGGCAACACCTTACGTCGAGGCCGAGGCGGACAAGGACGACTCGATTGAGGAGGCTGTACCGTACAAGGCACCGGCCGTTGCTGCAGCGGTAGAGATCGACGAGGCTGGAGACGAGAAAGTAGTCAACGGAACTGGAGAAGGGGAAGAGTTTGTCGATGCTGACTCTGGAGAATCGAGTGAATTCAGAACAGGACTGGTTGACGTTGCGGGTAATGGTGGTGCTACTACAAGGGAAGCATCGGAAGCAGTCTCCGAACCCGTGGTAGAGCAGGACGGTTCAGCAACTCTGGAAGACTACGCTACAGGTGAGACCAGCGAACCAACTCCAGAACTAGCAGCAGAGGCGCAAGAAGCGGGGGCGGAGGAGGAGAGCGGGGCCGTTGAAGCAGTGGCGCAAGACCGAGGGATCGGGGATCTACTGCAGCAAGCTACCGGGCAAGCAGTGCTGGAGGAACCCGAGATGGCGGCCGAAAATGCAGGAGGCGCTAGTGCTCTGGCACAAGGACTCGCGGGGATGATGGCCGGAGGGACTGACACGAGTGGGGCTACGTCAGGGTTGGCAGGTATGATGTCTGGGGACAGCGGGGCAAGTGGAGCTACGTCAGGGTTAGCGAGCATGATGCCCGGGGGCGTTGAGTCTGCAGGGGCAGCTGTCAAAGCGATGGAGATGCTCCCTGAAGGAATGGCGACCACGATGTTGAAGTCTGGGGTTGCGGACAACCTTCCGACGAGCGTGAAAGCCGGGCTTGCCACGACGGCGGTGAAGGAGAGTTTGACGGGCGGACTGCCGGAGGGCGTGAGCCCTGCTTTGATGGGGGCAAGCGTTGTGCAGCAGACCACACTGGGCGGGACGGGGGGGTCAGGCGGAGTGGCCGGGGCGCTGGGAAACCTGGTGCCTGGGTTTGGTGGAGACGACGCAGAGAAGGAGTGATTGTTGAAGTTGAAGAGCGGAGAGGGTGGCGAAGGAAGGTGCGAAAGGTGTGGGAATGGTTTACTTGGTGTTTGTGTTGTTGTTGCGCAGAGAGGAGGAAAAGAGGCGAGTACAGTAGATACAGTAGAAGATGATAAAAACGTTGAGTCGCTTTGTACGCGGATCTTACAGTGCGCAGTGGTCAGCGGCCAGCAATGTAGTGTAAGAAGAGCGTTATTTGCTCTGTCTGCTCTGAAGCAGACATCTGCTCCCGCTTCGTACTGTAAAGGGGGGGTGCCCTTTAAAAGTAACGATGGCGTCGCTGCCTTTGTTTATTAGAATGGGACCTCAGTGTCCCTATTTGTAGCCTCAGTTGCTACCGCGCATTCACTGCGGGTGCGCATGTGTGCAGGCGCACTCACTGGGCTCTCTGAACCTCGGAGCTCACGTATCTCACGTATCTCACTGCCGCCGTTATTACTGTGGCTTTGGCTTACAGAACTCGGATTCGACACCCTTAACATGGAACGGTTTCGTAAATTTAAAATAAAAATATGAAGCAGCCGACCTTTTTGCATGAGTCAAGCGGCATTACTGAGCTCAATCCAAGTCAGTTCCCAACGCAATCAATGTAAGTGTTGTAGGCGACGGATTGGTCTAAGAATTGAGCAAAAACGTTCCTCTAGCGAAACAGACGAAAAAACACCAATGCTTCAAAATTTTATTTCCTAGAAGAGCAAGAGCAGAAGCGGCTTCGCGTCTCTCTGCTGCTCGCTAAGCATCAATGGGCGACTCCTGAAATTCTAAAATCGCAAATTGTGTTGACCAAATCGGGATTTTGTGACACACAAACGGCGCGTTGTGCACACACAACGCGCCGTTTTCTCGGACGGGCGACCCCATGCTAGGTTAAATGTGTATCGCACAAATGTCAAAATGTGCGCGCGTACAATCCAAATTTACTGTACACAGAGAAAGCGTCGGCCGCCGCCCGACCGACGAGACTCGACATCTACATCCTACCGAGCATGGCTCTGAATGAGAAGTAGCAATAGAATAGCCATTTGGTCATTCATGGTTCTGACGGTGGCTGCTCGGTGAAAACACCATCATGATTGAGCTTAGCTCACAGCACACACTGTAGATAGAGCTCTGACGGCGTCATCGCCGGCGTCCGGTGCCGTGCTCGTCGTTAGGAACGAGTTCAAAGCATGCGTACAGTAGGGGGACGCACATTATGTGCGCAAGCATTTCCGTGGTAAAACTCATTTTTTGTTCACAAAAAAGAAAAATATGACTCTGACACAAAAAATAATTTCCGGAGGCGCCCAATCGCTCGCCGCACACAAAAAGGACGCGGGAGAACAAATGGCTCACCATGCAGAGCTGCCCTGGGCTTTGCGCAAGCAATCGTCACGGTTGGCCCTTTTTGTGGCCCCTTTGCGCTCAACTCACGCCATTTACTCAAAGGAGGCCCTGAACTGATCGTCAGCGTACAGTACGACCGATGGATGTACAGTACAGTATCCAAGAAGCCTCGGTTATGACAAAACAGGTTGAATGCCCATTTCGTTGTAATTTTGTTATATTTTCGATAATTTATGTCTTGTTCCGGGTGTTCCATAGAAAGCAACAGTGTTCCATTTCATGGACACCCCCCTTTTACATACGAGGCATACGAGGCATCCTCTTGCCACGCTGCCACGCTGCCCGCATTCCTCGTTTCGTTTCGAAGTGCACCGCAGCGCAACGTATTGCAGGCGGTGCTCACGGGCTTCCAAGGCTGTGCTAAATGCCTCCCAACCCTCTACCCTTCGCCCTCGGTCTTCTCGTCGGCTTTCTCACCCGCCCGCTCATCATGGGTTGCTTCGAATCGAAACCGCTCCCCGAGCCGGCCGCTAAGCAGCCCTCCCCCGCCGCCCGCGCGCCCGCGCCCGCGTCCACGCCGGTGGCCCCCGAGCGCGTCGTCTCCGTCCCGCGCCCGACCGTGGTGGTGACGGACCGCGACCGCGCGGAGCTGAAAGCCAAGTCTCTGCGCGACAAGCTGTCGGTCTTCGTGCTACAGTCGGACGACGAAATCCGGCGCTACGGGCTGGCGGCCGTGGCGGCGAAGCGCGCGGGGCACCTGACGAGCGCGCGCCTGTACATGCAGCGCCGCGCGCTGCTGCTCAAGCGCACCAACGCCACGCAGGCGCGCGCCAAGCAGGCGCTGGACATGGTCGCCGCCATCGAGGACGCAAAGGACAACGAGAGAACGCTGGACGCCATCGCCGAGGGGACACGCATGATTAATGAGGCTATGGAGGGCATGGATGCGGAGAAGGTCGAGGGCGTGCTCGAGGAGAACCGAGACGCGCTGGACATGGTGAAGGAGGTTAACCGCATGCTGGGAGGCGAGGAGGACATGCCCGAGGACGAGTTTGACGCGATGATGGACGAGCTGGAGCGCGAGCAGGCTGGGGGGGACGTCGCGGAGCTGGAGGTAGAGGAGGCCATGGTGGAGCACGCGGCGGGAGCGGAGGAGGAGCACGGGTTGGCCCAGGTTGACAATATTCCAGACGTGCCCGTGGAGGTGCCGCAAGAGCCGGAGGTGGCGGAACATGACCTTGCGGAGTATGTGGAGGAGTACGAAGAAAACCTCGACGAGGTGACGCCGGTGGACGCATGAACATGACATGATTTGCGCCGCGGGTGACGGGTGCCATCCCGTGCGTCGCTCTCTTGGCGGCCGGCCTGCTCGCTCTGCCGCTCGGTCGCGCCGCTCGGTGTCGGGAGGGCGGGGGGGCACGGGATCGGGGTGTGTGGTTTTTGCTTGCAGACGGCATATTTTTTCGCATAGGCGTATCTGGGAATGCGTTCAGGTTGTGGAGATGCGGACGCTGATCATGGTTTTACTGACTCGTGGAAGCGCATTCGCGCGGAACGGATTTCCAGTGGCTGGCTCGAGCCATTTGTCGGGAACACCGAGTTGGTAACGGATTTGTGACCGGACTGGAGATAACGTTGTATTGGTGCCAAGACGGACAAACCGAGAAAACGTTTGTCACGACGGAGGGTTCTGTACGTAACGACGCTCGGAAGCAGGGTTACCGACCGGACACTAATTCGCGTTTTGGTGGGTTGCAAGCACGCAGACAAACATCGGCTGCATCGAGCTCTTGGTCTCAGGACGCGACCCAGCCGCATCACGCAATACTGTAAAGACAAACGTGAGGAGTAAAGCGAGAGAGAAAACGTATTCGAAAAATCCACGATGACTGTTTGTCCAAGCGGGAATGTGGCGCAGTCACTGGTGCCATGGCAACGCACCTGCCACAAGTGCGCGACTGGGCAGCATCATGACTTAACGTTTTTGGATTTCGGCTTGCTGGGTGAAGGCTTGAGCGGCTTCTCGCTGCCGAAGCAGTTGCCACCGTAGGCGCCATTGGGCATGTCGACGACGCAGTCAAGAGCTTTGTTGACCTTGGCGAGATAGGCATTGACCGTAATCGAGTTGGGGTTATCGCTAATACCATTAACATGAGTGTCGATATAAGTGAGCAGGCCCGAGTCTTGGACGCGAACTTTCCTGGTGAAGAAGCATGCCGAATTCTCGATCTCTTCGCGGAAGGTCCAGGTCTTACCGTCCGGCTCCTGCTGATCGATGTAATACGGATGCTGGCCCGAGTGGACTCCGTGATGCATCCAGGCGACGTGGCGTAGAGAGTGCGAGACGTTGGAGGTGTTAAAGCGGGGGTGGTTGTAGGCGACGGTGGCGAAGAAGTGCTCCTCGGGCTCGAGCGAGTAGGCGAAGGCGAGCAGCATGCGGCGGGCGTACGAATCGCCGAGCACGAAGGAGGCGAAGTCGCGGTGCAGAATCATCCATGCCTCAGCGGCGGCGAAGGTGAAGGCCGCGACGTCGGAGATGGGCTGGTCGGAGTACGAGTCGACGACGGCGCTCTCCGAGTCGTTGAAGGAGAGAGAGGTGTCCGTGTACAGGCGGTCGTAGCGGAAGCGCTTGCTGTCCTTCCACCAGTCCGGCTCGGCGAAGCTGAAGAAGCTGCGGTTGCGCGCGGAGAAGTCGCGGGAGGCGAGCAAGGACATCTGGTTGTGGACCGAGACGAGCGGGTAGTCGGAGCCCGACAGGTTGATGAAGTAGGTCCAGTCGGGGTGGGCGTCTAGCGCCAAGTGCATGGCCGAGAGGAGGTTGAGCACCATGGAGATGCCACGGTACGTGACGACCTCCGACGGCAGGAGGCGGACGTTGTGCTTGTAGCGCGGCGAGCCCTTGAAGAGGATGGTCTCCGCGTGGCGGCGCTGCCACAGCGGGATCTTCTTGTCGAAGTGGACGACGTACAAGTTGTCGTCGTGGTACACGGAGCGCAGCAGGCGCGGGAGGAGCGCGAGCGTGGGCTCGGAGATCTGCAGGAAGTAGGCGATGGAGACGGGCGCGGCGCGCGCCTGCGCGGGGAGCAGCAGCAGCAGCAGCAGCAGCAGCGGCAGCAGCAGCCGCACGGGCGGCGCGAGCGGCAGCGGGGCGCGGGCGGGCCAACTCATGAGGGGCGGAGGGCGAGGTTGGCGGAGGGCGGAGCTCGGCGGGGGGCAGGCGAAGGATCGCGCATGGCGGCCGGGCGCGGGCTTCTATTGATAGGCGCGGGGCGGCGGGGGGGCGGTGAAAGGGGACCGCGGTCAGCGAAGGGCACCTTGGCGCGCGCGCGCGCTCTTTGTGCTCGGCGATGACGTGCGCAGGCAGCAGGCGCAGCCTTGCAACGTGGCACACGTGTGCGCGCGGAGGCCGGCGACCGACCCCTTGTACAAGTTGTATGTCGCCCGCGCATGCGCGCGCCGCTGCAGGCAACCGCTGCCGCCTCGGGGCCGGTGCCAGGGGCCAGTGGAAGAAGCAACCGCTGCCCGTCCCCGATTGGCTCGGGCCGGAAGAATGACGTGTGGAGCCAATCGGCCGCCCCCCGGTTGGCTCCACAAGTCATCGCCCCGCACACGTGTGCGCGTGCACCACGCACAGGCGGCCTCGCGTGGAACGCGTCCGCACGCGTGCCGCCTTACGAAGCGGCCCGCCCCCGCGCGCCACTCGACGCGCGCCACTTGTCCCACGCGAGATTGCCAGGCAGCCTGTCATCACGCGACGCGAACCTTACAACGGTACGCGTAGCACAGGTGTACAGCATGTACACCAATCACTTGCTGGCGGAGGACAGGCGACGGTGGAAGTAAGAGAGAGAAATCCAACCGCGCTTTACACCGCCTGACAGACAACCCTAGCTCGCCGTCCCCCGCCACACGTCGCACACGTTGATCGCCGCCGCATCGCCGGCGTCCGCACCGGCCTTCACCCCCGCCACCTCTCCCATCTCGCCCTCCCACCACCGAAGGAGACACCGCCGACGAGAGACAAGCCCCGTTCCGCACGCCCCGCGAGCCAACTCTGCATCATGGTAAGTTTCGCCCCTTCCACGAGCCTCCAGACGCCTGCGCGTCGCCTGCGTCGCGCTGTGCCGTCGCGGTCCCACGCGCGCCGCCCGTGTCCCGCCTTCGCCGCCGGGCCGGCACGCCCGCCCGCGCGACCCGCAGATCGCCGCCCGCGACGCCCGCACCGATAGTGATGCGTGCCCTGCGCGATGCCGCAGTGCCATTGCGGGGAGTGCCGCCACCCTACGATGCGCGCCCCGCCGCTGCCGGCATGCCCGCGACGTGCCAGTTTGCCCCTGCGTTGCCGGATTGACTAACCGCGAGCGCCCCGTTTCCCACCCTACCCCCCGTCGCCTTGCAGGCTGTCGGCAAGAACAAGCGTCTGTCCAAGAAGGGCAAGGGCTCCCGCAAGAAGCAGATGGACCCCTTCATGCGCAAGGAGTGGTACGATATCAAGGCCCCCTCCGTCTTCGCCGTCCGCCAGGTCGGCAAGACCCTTGTCTCGCGTACCCAGGGAACCAAGATCGCGTCTGAAGCGCTCAAGGGCCGCATCTACGAAGTGTGCCTCGCCGATCTCCAAAAGTCGGAGAATGAGGCCTATCGCAAGATCAGACTCAAGTGCGAGGAGGTTCAGGGCCGCTCGTGCTTGACCAACTTTTATGGAATGGATCTTACAAGGGATAAGCTCTGCTCCCTCGTCAGGAAGTGGCAGACTATCATCGAGGCCCACGTCGATGTCAAGACCACCGACGGCTACTTGTTGCGTATGTTTGCCATCGGCTTTACCAAGCGCCGCGACACACAGGTCAAGAAGACCACCTACGCCCAGAGCAGTCAGATCCGCGAGATCCGCGCCAAGATGGTCGAGATCATGATTCGCGACGCCTCGGCCTGCGACCTCAAGGAGCTGGTACGCAAGTTCATCCCAGAGGTTATCGGTAAGGAGATTGAGAAGGCCGTGTCGGGCATCTTCCCGCTCGGCGATGTCCACATTCGCAAAGTCAAGATCCTCAAGGCCCCCAAGTTGGATATCACTAAGTTTATGGAGCTTCACGAGGCTGGCGGTCAGGCAGAAGATGTCGGTATGCCTGTCGAGACACCGGACGAGCCCGCAGCTCCAGCGGAACCCATCCCTGGTGATGATCCAGTTGAATAGAGACCCAACGGCTTTTTGCTAAACACAGCTTGTCATTTGTAAACTCTTAACAATCTGTGTATCTTCCTTGCGCTTTGCCCTTTTTTTAAAACGCTCAAATGCCCCTCCTGATTCTTGGAGCAATGGCGCATCCCATTCTGCAGAAGCGGGTTCAAGGTTCGGCACATTGCGCGGTGCCATGTGATGAGGGGGTTTCACAGTCCACCCACGTTTCTTGAAAGCCCTTTTCGCTGCTGCAGCAGTTTTAAGCTCTTTTTTTCTAAAAAAATGCTGTTGCGGGTCTATTTCTAGTCTGCTGAAGATTGCTGCGTTTGTGGGCCCCTGGCAAAAGCATCAGGTTCCAATCCTCTCTGATAAACGCGATACCACCGAATATAGAGGGTGTCGGTTTAGCGCACCTCTAGTTTCTTCTCCTTAGAAGATTTTGATAAAGTTCACGAATTGACGACGGGAACGCCCATGTAACCCCCTTTCTCCATCTACTGACACTGCGCAATGAAAAAAAGAATGTTCCCTCGCCAAAGTTCACTTTTCATCACATGAATGTCGCAAACTTGTATACACTGAACATCAAATAGTTTGATTTTCGCTTGTCCCTCCCAGATGTACGTGTTTAAATCGTTGTTTCATTTCTTGCCTACAGCATGATTCATCTGCAAGCTCGCTTTGAGTTGTTTTCTTTCACAATATGGCTATATCGTCAACGCGACCTTTTTTCTGTCAGCTCATCTTTTAGCGAGCTTTGTCTTTCGACAACTTTCACATGCCTAGCAAACCATAGTTCTACAACTCAATTACTTTAGCCCTTGGTTTCAGCCCCCACGTTGACCCACAACATCGATACTCTACTTCTCTTGCACGCGCTTAGCTTATCTCAGAAAGCATCCAGTCCTGACTACTGAGAATCCTATCGCCATCTCCAAGCAATAGTGCATCTGCCGCGAAGTGCGCTCACGCGAACATCCTTTGCTTGAACATTGTCATCTGTTGGAACGCGCTGCTGCTTCTGCATAACATATACAACGCACTGTGCATTGGGAAAGCGCATCCTCCCATTTCATAAGAGATGCGTATTACCTCTTGTATTGCCAGATCTCTGGTGCTAAGTTCGTTCTTTGTCTCAGTCGCTGTTTCAACTTCGACCTTCGAGAAAGATGTATTTGGATATCTTTTCGAATCCAGTCATATCCTGCAAGAAGCCCCCCAAGAAGGCATCAGCCTTCTCTCTGGTGGTAGTCAAGAGGCCTTTCTGCTCGATGGCGAAACGGATGATGTCATTTTCTCCTACATCTTTATGCCTCCCTCGGGAACACTTCTGAATCAATATGAATTGACTTTTGCATGTGACTCGCTTGCCATCTACGATCCAGGGCAATGTTCGGTTAACAACGCCGAGACGCAAATTGTCGGCTCCGATGCAACGGCGTATAACACCACGGTCTCCTGCATGTTTGCACAGTTTCCTGGTACCATGTCTTGCGAGCTTTCGGCTTCCCGCAGTGCGACATCGACACGGGCAGTATCCATTTCTTATGATCAAAACATGTCTCTCTCAAGTATGAAGAGTGGCATGGTGCGACAGACGGCTCTTGCGACATACACTTCTCCAAAAACAGAGGTTTCAGTGTACGGAATTGTTCTCTTCACTCCCGGTACTTCGGGACAGGATTTCGCGGGTGCAAACATAACATCTGGAGGTTCAAACTCGTACCAGCAAGCCGAATTTGATCGTACTTCACAAGGGGTGAGGGAAATAACAATTTCTGCATTCGTACCAGGAGAAGGAGCGGTAACTGGTTCATCTGCTGTGGATTTGATGAATACTGCGACAATAATCACTACCGTGGAAGATCAAATCTTGAAGTATGACCCATCCACTTGCCTCCTGGGAAATGTGACATTCGTGGATGGCACCCTCTCCCTTCCTAGTCCGGATTCCTGCAGTATTGGAGTTGCATCTGCGGGGGAAACAAGTAATGCGAAGATGGGATTTCAGTTCAGACCGTATAAATCCGGCAAGTTTGTCTTGAAAATGTCTTGGAATGCCTTGGGAACAAACGCAGATAGCTATGAGCAAAGCCTATCTCTTCAGATAATAGAGACCGCACCCCCGGTACTTGTCGATGTTCAAAAGGAGCAAGTGTACAAAAGCATTCCCTGTGGAAGCCAAAAGCTCACCATCGTCGCATATAATGTCAGATTCGCGGAAACAAGGACTCTTTCCGTAGCCAACGCAGACGGAACGACAGCGACGTGGTCGGAAATCGCGAATTCTTTTTCGTACGATTCGTCCCTGGATCAATCATCAATGGACTTTGAGAGCCCTGGTGGTAGCGGTTCAGCTGCCCCGATCACTCTTCAAGCTATCTTCGGGACAGAAACGAGGCTGGGGGTAGTTATTACTTCAGGCGTCGATGCCACCGTATCTTTCTCCACACCCCCAGGCCTAACTGCTATCAGTCCAGATACGTCTTCAGTGGGAGGTGGGGATCTCGTCGTACTTACAGGGTCGTTCGAAAGTCTTGGCACTGATGGAGTCGTTCGTGTTGGAGGGTTCATCGTACCCGAAGAAGATGTGACAGTCGTTAGCACGACTCAAATATCTTTCAAAACTCCTCCGCTTTCCGCACTAGGAAGCTCTTACGTATACGAAGTATCTGTTGGTGTGTGTGCTGAACGATCTTCGACGCTAAAACTTTCATACACCGTCTCTCCGGTTGTTTCCATTACCGCCATTGACACTGGTGTCGATGAAACGGGTTCTTATATCATTCCACCAAATGGCATTGCTTCCTTCCTTGCTGATGTTTCAGGAAACAACGTTGGAATAGAGTACACTTGGAAAGTTTTGACTTCTGGAGAGGATGCAGTAAGCACGGGGGACCTGACTACTGATTCGCAAGTCTTCAACCTCGCCTCCACAGTTCTCACATCTTCCTCCGAAGTTTACAAAGTGGTGTGTGTAGTACAGAACTCTCTCGGCTTGACAGATTCCGCCAACATCACGGCAAAGCTAAGCCAGGAGGGCACCCCTCTGTTGACGGTGATGGTATACGGTGTCGAAGACATTTCTCGATCGACCGATACTGTGACGCTGGTGCAGTCGTCCGTTCAGTTTCTAGAAGACTCAAACAGTGTATCTAACCTTGCAGATTCAACCCTTGTCATTGAATGGACCTACAACGGCCAGACATACAGGTCTGACAACTCAACAGCGGACAGCGAAATAACTGGACCGACACAATTTGGACTTGAGTTCAACATCGCAAGAAAGGATCTCATCGTTGGGGAACAAATTCTCACACTATCCGTATATATAGCCGAAAATCCTGACATTCGTGGTTCGGCCGACGTGAAGATTCGAGTCCTGCCGTCAGCGCTGCAACCCGTAATCAACAGTGGCGTTAATGGAACACTTATTTTGGAGGGAAATGACTTGGTTCTCAATGCTGGAGACTCATTTGATCCTGACATACTTGAAGGAGAAGGTGACAGTTCTTCAGGACTAACGTACGAATGGATGAGCTGTAGAAAGTCGCTGACGGCCAGTTTTTCGATTGGTGCTGAAAGCTGCCTAGACATCCTCCCTAGCTCTACTTCAACTTCTGAGATCTCGATCCCAGCCGCATCGCTCTCGAACGCTCGTTTAGATGATTCGATGGAAGGAGACCCGACATACTTCTCGTTTGGAGTCACTGTGAGGAAAGGGAACAGATTAGCTGAGGCATATTCTTTCATCGAGGTTCGTACGGTTGCTGATACAGAGCCTATTCCGCTGCTTGCGTCACTAAAAGTAGTTGACATCAAAGGCGTTGCTCTGGAAGAGGTTACTATATTCTCAGATATCATTATCCAACCTACAAGTGGCGACTCTTCTGTTAAGTGGGCGTTCGATATGTCCCGTCCCGGCCAAAGATATCTTTTCTCACAGAATAGAGTTCTCAAGTCAGGTGCAGGATTTGTTACTTCGAATCGCATTCAATCACGAGATCTTCTTGGGTTCAGAGCTGGAGCCCTCCAACCATCCACTGAATATACAGTCAAGGTCACCACATCTGCTCCAGACACTTCTTTAGAATCCGAGTACGAGGTCTCATTCAGAACAGCCGATGTCCCAACACTCACATGCATCCCACCGGAAGTCACAACAGGAACGGTATTTGAATCCAAGTTCGTGATCAGTGCACAACTGACATTCGAAGACCAAAGCATCGAATATTGCTTCAACCTTCTATCTTCTTCTCCTGCCAGAAAATATTCAGTCGGAAAAGGATGCTCCTCAGTGCCATTCGCTGAATTCTCGTTTCCTATGGCTGGAACGTTTGGCATAGAATGCATTGCAAGAACGATCACAGGGGCTGTGATTGATATCATCACTCTGGACACAAACTTAGTCCTCACCAATCCGACGCCACAACGAGATAGCACTACAATTCAAACTCTTTCCAATCGTTTGGCTGCGGTTGAGGCACAGTTGGATGCTTGTGTAGTCCTCAAAGATCACGCCTGTATTGAACTCTTTATTGCTTCAGCTGCGAGCTTCCTCAGGGATGTGGAACTGGCAGTAGAAGGGGACACATCAGAAGAAGGACAGGCTTTGATTGATTCAGCCAAGGAGTATATGACGCGGCTTAGTCAACTGAGCGAAACCTTGGCCGACCAGACAGTTTACAGACCTAATCAGATAGAGGAGTCCGTCGACCAAACATTTTTCATGGCACAAGTATCGGGGTCTTTTGTGGAATCCGAAAGCTCGTTGTTCGGCTTCTTGGCCCCAGTTGAAAACGCCGTGAAATCCACTCAAGGAGACTCTTCGCAGCCTATCATCAGCAACGAACTCGTAGAGAAAGTATCGGGGACGGCAAACCTCACTCTGACGACAGCGCTGAATATTGCACAGGAGGGAACGTCTCGGAGAAGGCTACGCAATGAAGTTGATAGCGCCCACCGCTCTTTTGCCGCAGTTCTGCATACAGTCACACGTCTCGTTGGAAGAATCAGAGCACAACAAGAATCTTGCGGGTACTCAGGGTCAGAGTCAACTGCATTTCCGAGCTCAATGGAGACTGCGGGTCGTGCCGGCGAAACTAGCAGTGGTCCTGATATTGCACCTCTTGAAGTCGGCATCAAGATTCCTTGCACGAGGACACAAGTCAAAGGTGAGATTCAGCGTTCGAAAGTGTCCCTTGAAGTATGTGAAGCTGCTCTTGGTGCAAGTGAAATTCGAAGGCTAGTTCTCATGGTGGTGCCTATACCAGATGCTTTGATAGACGCTACCGGCCTACAGACAAACGTCGCAAGCTACATCGATGAATTGGTTTACCTTGAGACCCAAGGTATGGAATTGGGTTCTCTTCCAGAGCAGTGTCTACGAGTTATCATGAAGCGGAAGGAATCGACCATCTCGAACGATGGCTTTGAGAACCTAGTAGCAGGACTTTTGCAAAACCTACCAACAACTACTTCAAATTGTACAACTAAGGGCTGCTATGCGTTTGAAGAGACGGACGACGTCACATTTGGGGAAAAAGAAGTGGTGATTCAAACGAACAAGGAGGGACTTTTCATTGCCGGCAATCTCACAGGTAGAGCTGCGGAATCTCAATTCGGGTCTTTGGACGGTGTGGGCCTCGGCCTCGGTGGTCAGGTAATACGGGCTGTTGGTGCAGGAATGGCCTTCATTGTCGGAGCTGTGTTGGTGACTTGGCTCGCCACTTCAAGCTTCCGTATAGCTTCAGCTCCTGAAAGCTCCGCTGGGGCGGCTCAGCCCAAACCACTCGTTGATACGCAATGGGAGTATTGCGAAAGGGACTTGTTCGCCCGGGAGTCGCATATGAAGGATGGATCACAAGCGTCACTCTCCGGTGCGCATAAGATGATTCCAGAGGGGGCGAGCCCGCCGGAGGCTGAGCCAAACTCGAAGCCCTAGTCGCAGTTTTCATCTCCTCGACGTGAAAAATCATACAATGCATACGTTCTACGGTAGAGTGGTCGAACTATCGCAATACTTGCTTACTTTCGTACCAAGTATCACGTTGCAAGCAAAGCGCGCACCGACTGAGACCACCTCAGTGGCCGAGTAGTCTTCAGGGCACTTCTTATTTTTAGACTGTTGGCGTTGGGTTTTGGTTCCCCGTAGGAACTTTAGGTATGTTTAATCTAGTTAGAATGGCCTAAGTGGCAAGTTTGCTTCGTGGTTAAATACAAGTGTGCTTCGATCTTTCCGAACATCGTGAATGTCTTTCACACTAAAGCCGAGAGTGATATGAAAGTCTATGGGCGGCAGGCCGAGCTCTGTGCGGAGTGCATTACCTGCTGGCCACTCAACAACGACGAAGTATGCCTCGGCCAGTGCCGGCTCCACAACGACGCCTTTCGCAACTGTGCTCTCCGGAAGCGCAGAAGATTTTCTTTTCGTCCTTTTCGTAGGTCCTCGTACTCGTCCCACTCCGAGTATTTGCATGGTTGAATGCTTCAACGATTCAAACGCTTTGCTGAGAAGCCGTTGCTTGCCATGCTTGTAATAGTTGGAAAGATGGGAGATCTCTGGTGGGCGAATAATTGTGATATGATGGGGGTTTCCGCGCATGTGAACGCGTCTCTCTGCACAAGCTGGAGGAATCTTCTCTACTAGCGAGGCGCAAACCCTCTCGATCTCGGGGCCGCCGATTCCCAAAAAATAGTCGAAGAAGAGTGGCCACGACGCTGTCCGACGCACGCTCACGTATCGTTGTGCCCCTTTTCCTATGCTCCCGTGCCATAAGCCCATGGACTCGGCGACCGCGTGGATGACTTTTCTCTTTCTCTTTCCGAGACCCATTGGAAAATGGTGCAGTCCAGTCGAGTCCTCGGAGAAGACTTGCTCCCGGAGTATGCTTTCGACCTCCGCGACCTCTGCCATTCCCAACCCTTTCATGACATTCTCATCTCTAACGTCCGCCAGAAACATGTTTGCGTCTATATCTAGATCCCATCCTACATCGCTTCCAAAACCTGAATCTTCTTCACCCAAAGTTTTCCTTGGCCACGCAACTAGCATATCGTTCTTCGGCGTGCAATCGAGCGGCCTCATTTTGACAACGCGGACCCCGTATCCCATTTCGCCCATCCACAAAGCGCGGTCCTGTTCTACAAGAGACTTTGCGACGCGGCGCCAACCATCTCTTTCGAGCAGCTGCTCCCCAAAATCCGCTGCCCTGGCCAAGCGTGGATACTCTGCTTCTGCAAGCAGCCCTCGAAACAAGCTACTACGCGCGACATCCCAATCGATAGCAGCGCCCTCAGCAGACGCTGGATCCCTCACAACGGCACCCGAAGCCCGCCCCGTCACAGATCCCTTCTTCGCCACGACGCCTCCAACACAGCATGGTGCTACGACAACGGCGGCCCCCGCCCCAGCGGCGGCCGCCAAGACGGTGTCCGAGGCGCCGCCGCAAGCGTGCAGGGCGACGGCGACGTCGAACGGGACGCCTTGCAGCTGCTCGATGTTTCTTTCCAGGGTGTCCAGGTTACTCAGGCCAGCCTCGGCGGCGCGGCGGGCGGCGATGCCCAGGGCAATTTGATTGGTGTCGACGACGATGACGCGGCAGTGCGGAAAGAGGGCAGCGAGCGGGAGGCCCACGTGCCCGCATCCGCCGCACAGGTCTAGCAGGCGGGGCATGCCCTTTCGTCGGCGGGATTTACTGTTGGAGGCATCGGGGGTGGGAATGAGGGCGCAGACGGCGGCGACGAGGTTGGCGACCTGGAACCGCTTTTTCGAGGCGCGGGCGTGCGGAACGCCGTACGCGTCCTTGCCCTTTTTCTGCTTTCCACGCGAGGCGGGGTCTAGAGACGGGGGGAGGGAGGCGAAGCCGTCTTCATACAGGAAGCGATGCTGGGCGGGGGAGAGATTAGGGACGGAGGGAAGGGCTGTGTAGGTGGGCAGGGTGGTGGGGGCCAGGAGCAGGCGACGGGTTATTTGCTCGGCATGCTTGAGGTCGATACCGTACTGGCGTGCGGGCATAGGAGGCGGGCGTAGGCCAGTGCGCGGCGCGTTGGAAGGAAGCTTTTCGCGGTTGGCAAACGGGTGCACGTCATCGGTGAGCGAGTTCATCATCCCGCAGACCAGGGCTGCGGGGGGGTGTTCACATGAACAGGGCCGATATGGAGAGGGCGGCGCTGGCAGTATAACTCTAAGACAGTTACGGGCGCGGGCGCGGGCGCGGGCGAAAAGGAGCAATATTGCACCTATCAGAATTGAACAAAAACGGGGAAACTAATTTCCGAATTTCCGCGCCATCATTGATCTCCCTCCCCTTCCCGACAAGTTTCCCGCCGGCCATCTACTCGACTCTCACATCAGCGCCGCAAAGATGGCCCAACGTCTTCCGGCATTCTCCGCGTCAATTGCACTGGTAGCTTCCAAGCGCGGTTCCGCCACTCTCTCCTCGTTCACCGCGTCGCGGGTGCCTCTCGTGCGCCATTCCACAGTGTCATTTCACCGTCAGCGACCAACACCGCGCTTCCCGCAACTCCCTCCAGACTCCATTCGCTCACCGACTGCCCAACTCGGAAACGTTGAAGACCTGCCCGCCGAACGGATCCCCGGCGACGCCGCGTTAGTGCCGCAGCACTGGCACCGCCCCGGTGTCTACGGCGTGTACTCGATCAATGCGGAGCTGCAGTATGTCGCGGCCGTACGCGACGTCGGCGCCGCCATCGCGACGCACATAACCATCATCAATGACCCCAAGCTGGTGTTTGCCGTACGCATGATCTTGGTGGACACGGTCGAGCAGGCGCCGCTGGGCGACATTGCGGAGACTTGGGTGCTGACGCACTTTGAGCACGGCCCGGGCGTGCCGCCAGGGAACGGCGACGCCGCGCCGATATGGAGGGAGGAAGAGCTCGTGCGCACAGCTGACATTTATTTCCCGCCCAATACGGAGCCAGAAATGGTGCGGTCGGCAATCAAGCGTGTTCTGAGGGAGAATAAGGTGCTGCTGTTCATGAAGGGCACGCGGGAAGAGCCGAGATGCGGGTTTAGTAAGCGAACGGTGGAGATGTTGGACAGCGTGCTGGGAAACGAGTTTGTTTGTATGGATGTATTGGATGAGATTAGAAATCGCGGGCTGAGGGAAGAGATCAAGAAGTTCTCGGAATGGCCCACTATTCCGCAGCTCTACGTCAATGGTGATTTTGTTGGAGGCGCAGATATCGTGCAATCCATGAAGGACTCTGGGGAACTTGACACTTTGCTCCAACCACTAGTGAAATCTGCAAACTAACGTCATCTCTGCCAAATGTATCAGGCGAGAGTCGTGTGCGTTTTAGTCATCAAAGAGTGTAAGCCTCTTCTATTCCTTATAATATAAGGATTATTGCTCTGGGAGATTCATGGGGGCGGAGTGCGAGGTATATTCGCAAATTCCCTGGGGGGGGGGAGGCTATTGTGTATAAATGAATGCCCTTGGGTGAGTGCGGAACGGAGACTTCATCGCTTTACGGGGGGCGTGCGAGATGTTCGCGCGAAGAGTGTCTGGCAAGGTCGGAGGCGATGGCTGCAGTAAAGAAGCGTCAAGTCGGAAAGGCGTTGGCGCTGAAAAAATAGTTTACTATGCAAGTAGGAAACAAAACTTGATGCGTTGTTGGCACCGATTCGATGGGCAAGTATGTGACGCTTGCCCGGTCGACAGTGAAGCAGAAAAGCGGCGGTTGGGGCGTGCGTGCGCGGGTGTCGTCACATCGGAGACTCGTCCTCCTGCCCCGGGGCGCCAAACCTAGTCGGAATCCACCACCACACGGCGGCGGCAAACACGACGAAGGCGGCGACGGTGGTAGCGAGCTGCAGGTCGACGCCTGGCCCCCTACTAGCGATGGGGCCCACGCCGAAGCTGACGAAGAAGATGCTCCACAGCGGGGCGAACAGCGCGACGAACGGGAGGTTGAGCCTCTTGCCGCCTGTGCGAGCCGCGGCGCCTGCGATACACCCTGCGGCGGAGGCGCTGACGACGCTGACGGTCCACTGGTCGTCGCTGACGCCAGGGACGTTTCTGCACATGGTACCAGGGACCGCGCAGCGCTCGACGGCGGCGACGACGTGCAGCAGGGCGGCGTCCAAGCCGTGTTCACGCACGTAGAAGGCGTTGCCGAAGCGGTTGGACGCCTCGAGCCAGAACGAGGCGGGGAGGCGTGCGTACACGTCCGGGCCGACCGAGAACGACAGGACGTTGCCCGCGGCGGCGTCGACCGCGACCACGACGACGCCCGGCGGCGGGCGCGCCCACCGGATGTTGGCCTCGGGCGAGTAGGCGCCCAACGGGCCGCGCGTGTAGACGAGGAGACGCAGCGACGTCGACGCCTCCAGCGCCGCGAGACGCGCCGTCAGCGACGCCGCCTGCCCCGTCGTCAGGATGCGGGCCTTGTCCGTCACGCGCACCAGCGGCGCGGCAGCAGCGGCCGGGGCGTCCGCCGCCGGCTCGGCGCGCGCAGCAGCCGCGGCGGGGAGGGACGGGGCGGCGGAAAGGAGCAGGGCGGC